TCCACATACACTGCTGGTAAGAGAATTGACATAAACTTATCTGGCAATCAAAAATTCTACTTTTATAAATTTATAACAAGTAAATCATTCTACCTTTTCCAAAATTTATTTCTTCAAGGCTGTCCATCGTAACATTGATTATAATATGAAATGTAGCAATGGTTCTTATGTTGAGTGGAATACAATGCAGATGTTTTTAAAAAATGACATTGAAAAATGTTTACTTTGTGTCTCAGAAAGCAAGCTCGACCTAATCTGATGGAAAGAAAGAGTTCAATGTGTAATTAAAAGGTTACAGCAGCTTCATCAACACCGTCAGGACAGCCCCCTTGTCTCCCCAACCCTCAGCTCCACCTGTCTAGGTGCTGCTCATTGTCTGTTCCTATGCGGTGGCAAAAAGACGGCCAACAGCGCCCGAGCGTGGCCTCTCACATTGCAGGGTGCTGGGGAAGAAAGCATCTCTTTCCATAGATCCCTGAACATTTCTCATGAGTTTGGGCCTGTCTGAGACACTTTCCATGTTTGAATTAATCATGTAATCAGAAGGATGAAATGATGCCAAGAAGTCAGGCCTGGGACACAGACTTCTCTACTGAGTCCTGGTCAGCAGAAGGAGAAGGGTGGTAGTCCAGAGGAAATCCAGGGACTAGAGGATTTTTTTGCCAAGAGGATGTGGATGCTGAGACAACAAAAATAGTAATGCTTAGATATATAAAAATATCAAGAAGGATGAACAAAAACTTTAACGAAATATTTACAAATTTAAAACTTCTATTTTTCAAAAGATCATTGGTGCTGGAGCCTAAGAGCAGGGTTTAAGCAAATGGACACCACACGTTATTTCTGAGCTAGGACTGATGGAAGCCAGTACGGGTTGGTTGCTGAAGAGGAATTTGAGGAATCAGGAGAGGCTCCTAGCTTTCTGGCCTGAACGACAAGATACCTCACTTTCTGAGCTGGGAGAGAACAGGTTCCGGCAGGGGAGAAGCATAGGTACTGCTTTGGATACATTATGTCAAATGCTGAAACATCAGTTGTAACTTCCTCTAGGCATTGCACCAAAATTTCTTTCGAGTAATTGTGGAAGAAACAGACATCTCTTCTCTAATCCAGTGTGTCCATTTTAGAGGATAACACTCAAAAAGTCATCTTGTTTCTCTCACTTCTAAATGATTACAGAGTGCCTAGCATTGTCCTTTTGCACCAATTACATAAAATAGTACCTATTAGCTGAATGGTGAGGAGTCTAAATACCCCAGGGCACACTGGGGACAGAGTAACACTCTCCCTAAGATGTCCACATGCTCATCCCTAGAACCTCTGCAAACATTAGGTTACACAGCCAAGGGACTCAAGGTTACTAATCAGATGGGCTTCAGAAGAGAGATTATCCTGGATTATCTGGGTATGTTCAATTTAAATACTTTCCTTAACTAAGCTGGAGAGAGAAAAGCTGGGATGATGATGCACCATGAGAAGGACTCAACCTGCTGTGGTTACCGTTCTTAAGACAGAAAAAGGAGCCAGGAGCTGAGGACTGTGGTGGCCTCTAGAAGCTGGAAAAGGCACGGAGAAGAGTTTTCACCCGAAGACTCTGGAAGGAGCCAGCCCCAATGCCACCCTGATTTTAGCAGAGTTTGAAACCCATTTTGGATTTGTGACCTTCAGAACTGTAAGATAATCCATTTGTGCTGTTTTAAACCACCAAATCTGCATTAGTTTGTCATTGCAGTATTAACGAATGAATAAAACTGCCTACAAAATGAAAACTGTACAAATGAAATGACAACACCCAGCATACGTCTACACACTGATCTGTGTGTGTCCTATCGGGACTGAACCCTGAAGTAAGACTAGAACAAGCAATAGACAGCAAGAGTCTAGGGTGACCCAACGGTTGAGATGGTGCTAGGAGATCTTGGGAAGAATGGTGCAGTGAAGCTTACAAGGAAGAAGTTAAGGTATGGGCAGCTGTGAAGCAAGAGATCAAGAGATCACATACACACATGCATACACACACACAAAATCTCACACCTGTATACACACATGCACACACAGAATCCCACGCATGCACCCAAACATGCACACATATAAAAAGCTGTCTGATCTAAACAGGTCTGGTGAAAGGTGTGGGGTCAGAGAGCCCAGGGTCATAGGAGAAAGGCAATCTGAAGACCTGAAGACCTCTTCCATGCCTGAAGCACAGGACCCCTTCATGTCTTAAAAACAAAAGCAGACACTGGGCACAGTGGCTTATGCCTGTATTCCCAGCACTTTGGGAGGCTGAAGCGGGTGGATCACAAGGTCAGGAGTTCAAGACCAGCCTGGCCAACGTAGTGAAGTCCCGTCTCTACTAAAAATACAAAAATTAGCCGGGCGTGGTGGCACGTGTCTGTAGTCCCAGCTACCTGGAAGGCTGAGGCGGGAGAATCATTTGAACCCAGGAGACGGAGGTTGTGGTGAGCCAAGATTGTGCCACTGCACTCCAGCCTGGGCAACAGAGTGAGACCCTGTCTCAAAAACAAACAAACAAACAAAAGTAGAAACAACAAAAAACGATCTCCTGACACCCAACGTCTGACATCGCTGGAATTATTTCCAAAATAAAGACAGAATATGAATGTGCTTGCATTTCCTGATGTGTGCATAGTAAAGAAATAACACCATGACTCACTAGTGTGAAGAGTTCACAGAAAACAATGGTGTGAAGCCAAAGAGGGAAGAAGCCTCGTCAGGACACATAAGCCACCTTCAGGAGGAAGCACTAGCCTGCGCTCAGAACCTCTGGGTCAGTCTGGCCCCAGTGTGCACGAGCTGACGTCCCACCTCTCCAGCTGCCCAACACCTCCGCTCCTCAGTGTTCTCCATTTCAATGCCTACTTCTGCCTCAGTGTTCTCAGCTTCAATGTCTACCTCTGCCCATTCCTGTGTTCTCGGTTTCAATGCCTACCTCTCCTCGTTCCTCAGTGTTCTCGGCTTCAATGCCTACCTCTGCCTCAGTGTACTCGGCTTCAATGCCTACCTCTCCTGCTCCATGGCAGGGTGGTGCAGACGGGGATGAAGGAGTGTCTGGTGCAGGCAGAATCATAGTCAGGGACACACTGACACACACACACACACACATACACATACATGTCTGTGTCCAGGACATGAATCCAGGGCAGCTAAATGAACCCCAACCTATCCTCTCATTGAACAGAGGTCAGATGGCCCCTAATATCATTTCCATAGAAAGTTATTTTTCTGTTAAAATATTCATTTTTCTATTTCTGTGGTCTGGCAGTTTTCCCAAGCTCTTTCTGCTTCCTCCCTGGAGCCACTAAGAACATGGCAGGACCACATTTCCAGCCTCTCTGGAGTCAAGGGTAGCCGTGCACCAAAATTTCTGGTCTGGAAAACACACCACGCATGCACAGGCTTGGTCCTGTCATAGCCCATGCACAACCCTTCATGCTGGAGGCGGAGGGCTCCAAAGGCTAAGAAGAGGGGCCACGGTGGTGGCACCTGGCAGCCTGTGCTGCTCCCACTAAAGGGTGACCAGGACACCAGGTTGGACTGCTGTGTAAGCAAGAGAGAAACATTTATTCCATGAAGCTGAGGTCCCTTCTGTAAGCCTACCTTGACTGATGTGGGTGCCTTGAAGCAGGATGCTTCAGTGACACTGTAGGATGTTGCTGAGTGACTGATGGAACACAGAAACAAACTCAGGAGGGTAAAAGCTCAAGACTCACCTTAGGCAGTGACAAACAGTTCAACTGCAATAACCTGTAATAATGTGGAAAACTGACCACAGGCTTACTCATCCTGCAGCCCTACAGTAAATTATTGCAAAGAATAAGCATTAGCAGCCAACACACGGAACTGGACTATCCCCACCTCCTCTCCCTGCTGTGCCAACCCTAGGGGATAATCAATGTTATAGGATATCCCCAGCGATATCCGTGTACGCATGTGCACAAAACAAGTCAGGGAAAATAAACTAAATTTATTATTTTAGTGAGATTCTAGTGCACCTAAGACTAGGTAAGCACTTCAGGAAAAAGCAGTGGCAAGTGACTGTTAAAGAAACCATTGTCTTAAAGTTAAGTCAGTAAACACAACGCAGTAATTCCAGATAAACTGGAAGCTGTAGACTTAATACCCCTTTACTGGTACAGTGTGTGTAAATTGTAGAAAATTTAGAAATACATAAAAAGATGAACTCTCTACTACTCAAGGAGTACCACTGATAAAATCCTGGGCATTTCCTTCTGCCCAGGATTTTTAGAAAGAGAATATTACTCCCTTTTGATTAGAAAAGATCGAAATTTTTTTCTTTTAGTGACTAAGCAAGCCAGAAACTTGCTGTTTGGCTCGAGTTAGGAAAACCTAGCCTGGTAGTTACTACGCAGGGTGAAAGGCCAGTGGGGCATAATTCAGGAGCCCTCAGAGTCCACGCTCCCGCCCTCGGAGCACAGAACCGATGGGTGGTGCGGGATGACGGGCATTTCCACAGCCCTGGTTCGTTCCTAAACTACTGAATCTTTTAAAGAGGTCTGAGTTCGCTTTATACATAGCTGCTTTAATTAAAATAACCACCTGCGCCCTTTTCCTCCGAACTCCACAGGCGCTCAGTTCTCAAAGCGCCGATCCTGCGCCTTCGTGCCACACCAGCCCGGACGCTCGGGCCCGATTTGTGCCCGAATTCCCCTGGAGACCCTCGCACCAGCACGGCGTCAGGAGGCCGCTTGGGGTGACGAGACAGCGGGCAACGGCTCTGGTCCAGAGCGCGCGTCTCCGCCGTTGGGAGCGGTCACGGCGGGACCCTCAAATCGCCCCCTTTCATAGAGACCTCAGCGGAGCCGCGAGCACACGCGCAGCCCCCGCGCTCCAGCCCCGCGCCCTAGGCACACGCCCCAGAGCACCAGCTCGGGTTCCGCGCCGAGAGCAGCCCGCTGGAGAGGACTCACAGCACCCAGCTCCCAGGAGGGCACGCAGGGAACTAGCGAGCCACGCTCCGCCCCACGCCCGCCGCTATGGCTACCAGCCCGCCGACTCACGCAGCCGCTACGGTTACTAGCCTGCAGCCCCCAGCGCCCACGCCCCTTTCACTATCTCGCGGCAGCTGGCGAGGCCTCGCTTCCGGCCTGCTCACTTCCGGGCCTAGCGTCACTTCCGCCTCCCTGGCGAGGCTCCGGCCTCGGGTCCGGATGCGTAAGGTTCGGCCCCTTGTGGGGAGCGGTGGTGAGTCCGAGAGTGCCATAGCGGCCCTGCCCCTGCCCCTGGTGGGCGCCACGCTAGGGGGAGGGGTTAGCCCACCCCCTCCTGCCCGGGGCCTCACGCGGGTGGGAAGGGACAGTCCCAGCGACAGACCCGGCGCCTGGACGCGCCGTGGCCCCGTGGGTGGACGACGGGGACGGGCTCCGGTACTGAGCGCCTCCCGTGTCCCCAGCAGCACTGACCCACTTGCAGACCCCGGAGCTGAGCCGCCAGCCATGGCCGCTCCCCGCGGGAGGGCCGCGCCCTGGACGACGGCCCTGCTGCTGCTCCTGACCTCGCAGATCCTGTCCCCGGGGAGCTGCGCGGACGAGGAGGAGGTCCCCGAGGAGTGGGTGCTCCTGCACGTCGTCCAAGGCCAGATAGGCGCCGGGAATTACAGCTACTTGCGGCTGAACCACGAGGGCAAGATAGTCCTCAGGATGCGCAGCCTCAAGGGCGATGCGGACCTGTACGTCTCGGCCAGCAGCCTGCACCCCAGCTTCGACGACTACGAGCTGCAGTCGGCCACCTGCGGCCCGGACGCTGTGTCCATCCCCGCGCACTTCCGGCGCCCAGTGGGCATCGGCGTCTACGGACACCCATCCCACCTGGAGAGCGAGTTCGAGATGAAGGTGTACTACGACGGCACGGTCGAGCAGCACCCGTTCGGCGAGTCCGCCTACCCCGCCGACGGTGCAGATGCCGGCCAGAAGCACGCTCGTGCCCCGGAAGACGCCTCGCAAGAGGAGGAATCTGTTCTCTGGACGATATTAATTAGCATTTTGAAACTGGTACTTGAAATTCTCTTTTGAGTCATTGACCACGCTCTGGGGTATAAAACCCTCCGTCTGTGAAGCTGATTGCAGTTTGCTGTGAACCTTGGTACTTGTACTTGGTTGAAGTTCTAGTTACCTTTTTCTAGTCAAGGGATGGAAAAATAAAGCCATACACAGTTTTGTTACCTCAGTTACCCCCAAAAATAGGAAAAGCAGCAAGCACAGTATTTTCTTTTAAATATCAAAATTCCTGTAAAAGGACTGTGCACAATAAAGTGTTTAGACTCCATTTTCATTAGGCAGGTTGACTAAAAATGATTGCAGTAACTTAGGTTTATATATTAAAAAAAAAGTAGAGCAACCTTTCATGCTGTGACACAGATCAAAGGTTGATACTTTGTAATTTTACTCTGGAGATTCTAAGCGAAGTTCAAGGTGTACGTTTTCAAGAGGTACTAAAATCAAGTTGGAAATGATTTATGTACACTTCCCTGAGCCTGGACTAAAGCCTCGTGCCTGTACCCCAAGTAGGGATGGTACTTTTCTATACAAAAGTGATTTCCTGGCAGGCAGGTATTTACAAACTGTGTTCCTGTACCAGTCCAATAATGACAACTCTAAATCCAGCTGCACCAAATCTTATTAGGCCATTTGTCATACCTATGAAAATTCTTTAGTTATTAAATAACTTTGTTAATGCTACCTATGGTAGGCCAGAAACAATGTAGATTAGGAAGTTTCATGAAAATTAACTTTTGGGGCTATGGAGAAATAGTTAAGTATCTTAAGTTGCTAAACATTTCCACTGAATTTTTGGAGTGAGCCAGGGTTACTATAAAATACTTCGGAAGATGATTTCTCTACCTGGAATTAGTTTGGAGGGTAAGAGTAGGTTTTAACAGAAATAAATCAACTGCAGATTTTAAGCTCATAATTTGCAAAAAAAAAATCTTTTATTGGCATAAAAATGAAAATGTTGTAAATAAATTGGCACCAAATGTTCCACTTAAATGCATACACAGTATTAGAGTCAAAAACTATTTTATCCCTCTTTGCTGTTTTTCCCCCTTCTGCCCACTTTCCTGGGTGTTGGGGGGGCCCGCTGACAACAGTCACAAATCCAGCGACCTAGGAAAAAAATTGTTAATATGGAATGAAAAATTATCTTTACAGGACTGAATTTTAAGCCCATCTAAACTCTTCTTCCTTAGCTATCACTAATGATATTCCTCTGTGGATTTTGTAGTGAGAAGGGCACTATGAGTTCCTTAATTTAAGGAGAAAAATATAAACTTGTAATCAATGCCATGCAAAATTCATTGCAAGTCAAGGGGGATGGGAGAAATGCAATGCCATACAGTGATACGGACCTTTAAAAAAGTACAACATTTCCTGAAATTCAAACACTATCATACTTCTAAAGTTCAATACATACTTCAAAAGTTCAAACCCCATTCTGGAATTTGGCTTTTTTAAGCCTTTTTCTCTCCTGCTCACTGGCAGCTGTGTGTCTTAACAGCATTCTTTCAAGTCCTGGTGTACTCTGCTGACAGCACTTTAAAACTTTTAAGTTTCTAACAGCACAATGATAAATTGTACTACATACTTGATCTGAATTACTACAGAAAAATAATTATGTTGCTTGCTTAATGATTCCCAGGAAACTTCGTTGTAGGCATATATTTTATAAGAGTATTATACAGTGTTAACTATGCAAGTAAGTTCTAAAATTACACAATTATCTGTGTAATGTTTTAGTCCAATTACTGTGATTTATTCAACTCTGTTCTAAAGTTACCTGGAATTGTCATGCTGCCTCAATTTACAGAAATCTGTAATCGATTTCTATAGAAATGTATAAAGACGTAGTCATTTTGTTAAGTTTCTAAATAGATAACATAAAAATAAAGGCTTTGAAACAAGATGATGCTGTTACTTAAGTATTTCAGTAGAAAAACACCAGCTCATTATATAGAACTGTACTTCCAAAACTTAGTCTGGGCATTCTGGCCTCTCATTTATCCTTTAGTTGAAATTGTCTGGGAATGAAAAGCTGGTGGACATGACCCATATAATCATAGCTTTGGTCATATTTGCACATAGGAGTCCACAAGCTCTGCATGTCATGATAACGTTTATGCAGCCTTTTGGAGTGCAGTGCTGGGAGAGTCTTATCACCCAAAGATAGTTTGTTCTTTTTTTAATCTTTACCTGATGGAATAGCACCAAGGCCCACACAAAAAGTATGATAACCTCTGTCACACACATCACAGAACATCATTTCTTCTTCATGGTGGGGTTGTCCACATATAATGCATGTTTTACATTCCATACACTGCCATGGGTAGGTCTTAATCATAGAAACAAGCTCCACTGTCATATCCAGGCAAGAAGGATGGCCTAAATCAAAACCAGTATTAGTAGTATCTCACATAAGAATTTTTAACTTAATATGGCACATAAAATGCTAGTTTGCTTTAGGACTTGCAGAGAATAGCTATAATGTCAAATCACCAAAGAGAAATGAAAATACAATGTAGAAGAAAACACATGGACTGTGTCTGCCTCACAATCTACCCTGTGTATTTATTTGACTCTGGTTGAAATCTGTCTGAAACTATAAATTCTAGTTTTTGAACCAACAAATACAGTGGCTAAAATTTTAAAAAGACGTTTCAATACTTACCACTATTCTCACATTGGGAGCAGTGTATAAGTGATTCAGCCTTTCCTTTCTTGTTGGACTCCTTACCCTTCAGACAAATTCCACATATAGCATTTGGAATGGCCTTTGGCTGGAAGGGTAGAAGAGGGCTATAAATTCATGCCAGAAGAGCTTACTATGGGTTTAAAAGGAATTCTGTTACTTTATTGCCCTATTCTTACTTTTGATAACTTGCTAATGACCATTTTGAAAGACAAAACTTGACAGGAATCTGCCTGCAATGTAAGATTGCTTACTGAAGAAAGCATTAATTTCATCATAAAATTTTGTAAACAGCATGATCTCATAAGATTAAATGTAGAATTCTATACTCCCTACATGCACAGTAAGATCTGTTTAATGAATGGAAGGAAAGACGAAATACAATGCCAAATGTCACTATTAATTGGACAAGAAAATCCAAGTAGCAAATGACCATTAAATGTGAGACTTACTCTAAAGAGAAGACCATTTTAAACAGCTTATGTATTAATTTTAAAAACTGCTCTTTTCCAAAACTGTAAAACTAGATCTATAAAATATAAGTTAAAAAATCAGTTTATCTTCATTGGTATAGTGGTACTTTTTTAAAAATCAGTTTAAACATTTTTAATTGAAAGATGTCTCATGCATACATTGGCATGTACATAAATGTTTGTTGAAAACTTAGTTGTGTGATTATTCTCTTTGCATGTCTAATAAAAGAAGCTATACTTAGAAGCATTTACTATAAAATAACGTAAAATTATAAAAGGGAAAAGTAAGTTTTCAGACAAGCAAAAAAAACTGTAGTCACTTAAAAAATACACAGACCCTCTGAGTACTACTCATCTTTCAGATTAAAAACATGCATGGTCCAGTGAAAGTGTTTGAATTTTAGACATATTTGGTAACCCATGGAAATGACAAAGGAAAAAGGGTTCACTGCACTTAAAATTACCAGGGGAGGGAGGGCATCCGAACGTCACGGCCTTGACTGTTATGAAATGACGTTCACTCATGCTATAGGAATAAGTAAATAACAGTGGTAAAAAAGTAAAAGCAAGCATGGGCCAAGAATGAAATGGGGTAAGGGGACATACGTACACACACACATACACACACACGCGCACACACACATAGATGAACTGGGAAAATAATTATTTTAATTAGAATTGTTTCATTTCTGCTTCATTCCCACCCTGCCAAATGCATCCCTTTCCTAATTTACTGAACCAAAAAGGAACCTAAACAAAACTCAAACTTTGTACATATTCCAGCTTTGAAATGTCTCACTGCCACCTTCATAACCTGTTAGACCTAAACAATTTGTTCTTAATTAAGTTTTCTACTTTTTAAATTATCTTTCTTTGCAAAAGATGACAGAGGCATTCAAAAAGAATTTTTGGCTTATTTATTTAAAAAAAGTCAACCTTATACATAAATATAATAAAAACAAGAACTCTAAACAATCACAAATGTCTCTACAAAATAATAAATATCATGGAAGTTAAACATACATATAAAACTTTACTATTAAACTAATTTCCTGTATGTATATTTTTATACCCTGCTCCCCCCAACAATAGGATAGTGTCACATGCTCAAACCATTTAAGTCTTGCAGTGTAGTTACCCTCTGTTGTTACTGCTACATTCTAAACATAAGGTTCTCATTGTGTGTTCCTATACCTAAATAAAAAACAGCTAGGAAGTGCACTTCTATAATCCAAATTCTGGTTCAGTTTTGTAATCATATCTGTACCTGCCATAATATACAGCAGAATGCTATCTCTTAATCCATCAAAACTAAGAAATCTCTTTTGGTTATGGTACCTGTACTAAATGTAAAAGATATACTTATTTAATACTCATAGTTTAAGTTAGATACTGGCATAGTAAGTACTCTAATATCTTTCACTAAAGTCAGGGAAGTAACCAAACAATATTAAATTCTAAAAACAGAACTCCTCATAGGAGATTCTTTACAAAACAAAAGCCAAAAGGAATAAAACACAAGGGTAGTCATTCACATTCTAGAGCAATTCAAGTTCTACAATCATTAAAATATACATTAAACACCTATGATAAAGGGACACCAAAAAATTCTAGGTTTATTTCTAAGTTTAAATCATAATGCTTTGTTAAATCACTTAGTTTTTCTTACCCAACAGTCTTCATCTTGAGGAAAACAGGGCAACATGAGAGAAGGGGAAGAGAGACAGTTTTGTAGCATTTTCTGTGATGAATGCTGCAGCTCAATATACAAAGCATCTGCCCTCTCTAAGAAGCCACAGTGCTGGCATCCAGGACTTCACAACAGGTAACAACCGTGGCTTAGAGAAGCCAGTCTCAGTGGATTGCACAGTTGAGGGAGGGGTTAATGTGCAGCACTCTCCCCAAGGCCAATGGAACACAATCCCATGTGTGTCTGGTTGAGACAATCAGTTCTACTTCAAATAACTGCAACATCATCAGTTTCACTACTGACAAGAAAATTGAAATACTCATCCTAATAGCTCTCAGCATCTCAAATAAAAGGCTCACAGTACACTTACTTTTCTACTTGAAAAACAGCCAAAGATAAGACTTTCATGGTAGCAATAATATAGTATAGATTTTAATTATATATTTATAGGCTGGAATCCTAATAATTATGCTTTAAATTTCAGGTTAATGTAACCTAAACAATACGGTCCTACGAGTTAAGGGCAAGCACTAGTGAATCTTATTAAGCAAACCGACAGATACATTACTTTCTTGAATCTCATATTTTATATATATATAAATATACATATAAAACATGACCTTTAGCTTGAAGTACCCTAATATTTAGGCACATCTTGGTTTATTAATACTTTTTATAAAGAGGTTAACTTTTAATAAACATGTTCACATTAATGTATGACTAGATACTGGTTGTTCCCATCTTTGAAATACCTGAAACATTTTTAGGTACTAAAAATGTTCACAGATTATGTAAAATATAAATTTTGCATATCCTACTTGAGTACTATTAGGTTCAGTTAATCTATATGATTTCTTGTATAGTAAATCAATGATAGTGTTAAATAGTTCATTTCCAGCCTGTATTAAAACATCTATTTCAATATTCTCTTTTTAACCCATGATCAATCAAGCTTACTGTTGGAAAGATCTACTTAGCACTCAAGAGTTAACAGGACACTGTGCTTTGAGCGGCCACTTCCATTTAAAGCTCTTAGCAGACCAGTAGAACACACTCATTCATGTGCACTATTTCTGAAATTTCATCTTTGGAGCTCACTTGCTTTCAGTTATTAAGCATTAATTTATATATTTAAAGAAATTAGATAAGCTTTATATGTAAAAACAAGTACAAAAATCACATAGCTGCAGCCTATTGCAGCCACCCTTGGAAGCCAACCCTTGCTCAATTAAGTTTAAAATTTGCTTGCTACAGGCTACAAAAAAAAAAAAAAAAAAAAATTTAAGTTACTTACATAAAAGCATTTTCTAATAAAACATGAAATACACTAATAGGTCACTTTTTTTACTTGAAGAAAGGTAAATGAACATGTTAGAACGTGTTCTAGTTAGTTTGACGGAAAGGTGACTAACTTCAGCCTGTTCTTGTGAATTATTTATCACAATCACAGTTCTGACATACAAGGTGTTTAACAATTTCACTTGGCAAAACTTCCTCATCAGCTTACTCTAAAATTTTCCTTCAATACACCTTCATAAGTGCAATAAAAGCATGTTCTAATACATTTCAGACCAAAGAATCAAAAGGTAGTATATTTTACTACCACCATCCCAAATATGAAACTGTACAGCTAATTCTTCCTTTTATGATATTCTTAAATCCCTATATGCAAATAAGGCTACACACCTCTCACCTCACCTTTTCTTCAAAAGAAAAGGGAGGGGCAGACAGAGGGAGGAAAAGTTCAAAATATAATAATAGTTGCTGACAACCTACTACTTTACTCTGAGGATAATCAGATCAACAAGTTAACAAGTATGTTTTAATTCTTGTCATAGAATCATATAGGCTCTTTACCAAGGTTATGCTAAAAATCACACAATGTAAATAACAGGTTTTATTATTTTCTATCCCAGAGTTAGCTAAATTTAGCATATGGATCAAGTAATCCTTAGATTAAACCCAGATCTTTCTTAATGAAAGGCACTAAAAAATGCAACTTCGTCGAACAGTATACCCACTCATACTTCAGCTC